CAACCGAGTGGGGATTTCATTTACCCCAAAATAATTCAGAATTGGTTACAGGTGTGCAATTTGCTGATGATACGGAAGTTGTTTTAGAAGGAATCCAAGCAATTCCGGCTTTCCTTGACTGTATGAGGGTGTACGCACAGGCTTCTGGACAGCAACTTAACCTGGATAAGGTTGAGCTGTTACCTCTCGGTACCCACCCACATCATATAACAATAAATCATGACATGAAGGTCGTACATATGGCTACGGCTCTCAATCTACCTTTTACGGATGTGGGGGAAACCACAGTCAGGGACTGGGATGTGCAACTAGACAAAGTCTGGGCTCGGTTTCGACGCATTTCTGTGTTAAATCTTTCCATTTTTGGGCGTGCACATGCAGCGGCTGCATATGGGCTGCATCGTGTTACATGGCATATGGAACACGGGGGGTTTCCCCCAGAAGCTAAACTCATGAATATTGAGGCTAAAGCGGCCAAGCTTATTGATAGGAACCTCGGACCGGTTGCACAAGAAAGACGACTCACCGAGGTTCCTAAATATTTGTTATATGGCCATCCAACTTTGGGCGGTTTTGGGGCATTAGCAGTACGACAACATGTGCAAGCGCGATGGGCATGCTGGGCAGTGCGTTATGTGGGAGCATTACTCCAACCAGTCTTAGTGCGTCCGCCTTGGGTGATGGTCATGCAATCTTTCCTACAAAGCCTTTACCCCAAATATAATCCTATGTGTATTTTTACGTCCCAGGTGGGAGTGCCTTGGTTTGGATTAATCGTTTTACCGCCAGATGTTCAGCGCATTGTGACAGCGTTGGCATACCTTCCCCCAGTGGAAGATGTTGATGATCACCCGTTAGTTCCTAATGCGTGGTGTTGGAATTTGCCATTGTGGGGAAACCCTGTTCTTCCAGAAAAAAGGTTGAATGTCCAGTTAGATAACATCCGCCCGGGACTAGAATTTCAACATCAAGCCCTCCTGGGCTGTAAAGCATTGCATACATTGGGAGATGTTCTTTGCGCGCGCGAGGCCTTGGATGGAGTTATGAATGCAACGGACCAAGCAGGCCTAGCAATACGCAAGGCTTGGCATCAAATAGTGGATCAATACCTCCAACCGCAAACCCCACTAGCTAAATCCCTGTGCACCTATCGTAAATGGCAGGAATGTATGGATGCTATTGGCGCTCTTCTAGATGATATTCCAGCGAATTGGAGACAGGCGGCTAGTCTTTTGTTGCCGCTGAGTGTAGAATCTAGGGAAGCGATGGTGCCCCCTATTGAGTCGGTTACCCAAACCCTAGTGTCGAGGCTTGGTTGGAGATGGGGTGTAGGGCCTCCAATCCGATTCCAACATTTATCCGTTAAAATAGCGACTAATATGCAACTTTCACCTTTTTCGATGGCTCGCCGTGTGGCCCATACCCTTTTCATCAAAGAGGCGACGGGTTCTTCTGAGATATTGGATGAAGCTATTCTTCTTTTGCAACGGACATTCCATCGGTTATGGTTTCATTTACGGTGGGAAAATGAACAAAAAGAGGTTTGGTGGCGTCTCGCGGTTGATGGGGTGCCTATGTTAGGAAATTCCCATCTTAGGATGTCGAGCCCAACGATATGTGGTTGTGGAGGTTATCCAATAGGTTCAGTGGGAGGTGTATCCCCTCGCTATCATCATTTCTGGGCCTGTCCGGTGGCACAGGCAGTAGCAGATCAACTTACTCTCTCAATAGGAGTGCCAGTCTCAAGGGAGCAACTTTGGCTTGTCCAAGCCCCACAATCAGTGCAACAATGTGTTTGGGATGTTGTGGCTCTTGCTGTGGTGTCAGCCATAGAGCATGGGAGACGTTATATGGCTGCAAACATGAAAACCAACCCTGCACTGTTACCTGGCCCTTCCCTTACGGAAGAAGCAATTTGTCGAGTTATTGTTGACTTTTGGGGCCGCATTCAGGGTTTCGCAGCTTTGGGAATTCCACGGAAAGGTTGGGATTCCGTTGGCGCACATCACCCCTTCTTGAGAATTATATCTGGCAAATTGCTGTGCTCGCGAGAGCGGTTACCGATGAGAGGTTAATTATCTGAGGTGATAATCTTTTGGTATATTAGTCTCTACTGCAGTGCACGGCCAGCTGGCCCGATGGCTCTACTCTTCGGGAGTCTGGAGCCCACTGTAACAACCACACCATATACACACACTCTCTCCATCTATCTATCTATCTATCTATCTATCTATCTATCTATCTATCTATCTATCTATCTATCTATCTATCTATCTATCTATCTATCTATCTATCTATCTATCTATCTATCTATCTATACACATATATATATACACGCACTCTCTCCATCCACTCGGAGAGCCCCCCCCATATCCCCCGCAAGACGACGTTTCCCTCCTCACCCCCCCCCGCCTTCTCGCCGTGTTTCCTCTCCTCATGCACATACATAACTACGCACCTTCAAGAGCCCCAGGGCGGCCATGATCCTCGCCTCCACGTCATGCCACGTCCTCGCCCCCGCCAGGTCCACCCACACCACACCCCCTTGAGCAGCCCCTGCCTTCACCAGCCGCCAGGCCGCCTCAATGGCCAGAGTGGTCTTGCCCATGCCGGGGGGTCCCACCAGACAAACAGCCCTGGAGGGGGGGAGACGGGGAGGGGGACGGGG